AGCCTTTTCAAACCCACCAATCGGACTCGATATCATATCAAAGCAAATCAACAAGCTTCCCTCGCTTTTGACCACAGCTTATCAGCCATTCAACTTGATCCTTTCGTGGACGTGGACACCCTCTCTGACTATTTAAATCAACTTGCCTCAAGATCATTCTATCAAATCAACTCACCTCAAGATCATTCTATCAAGTTTTTCTCCTCAATCAACTCTCTTCATTCAAGTCTTGCTCGTTATTTATCTCGTTACTGTACTTCAGGATTCAGCTTCTTTCGGTTATCTTTATTCTCAGTCTCGTTTTCGTACTTTAGGATCCAGTTTCTATCAAGTCTTTCCCGTTATTTATCTCGTTTTCGTACTTTAGGATTCAGTTATCTTTAGGATTCAGCTTCATTCAAGTCTTTCTCGTTACAGCTTCTTTCGGTTATCTTTATTCTCAGTCTCGTTTTCGTACTTTAGGATCCAGTTTCTATCAAGTCTTTCCCGTTATTTATCTCGTTTTCGTACTTTAGGATTCAGCTTCATTCAAGTCTTTCTCGTTACAGCTTCTTTCGGTTATCTTTATTCTCAGTCTCGTTTTCGTACTTTAGGATCCAGTTTCTATCAAGTCTTTCCCGTTATTTATCTCGTCACTGTACTTCAGGATTCAGCGTCTTTCAAGTCTTGCTCGTTATTTATCTCGTTACTGTACTTCAGGATTCAGCTTCTTTCGGTTATCTTTATTCTCAGTCTCAACCAAGTCTCCTCGTTTTGTTATCTCAAGATTGTCTTATCTGGTTTCTACTTTTTCAAGTAAGTCTTCTCGATCTTGATCTTGTTACTGTACTTTAGGATTCAGTCTCAACCAAGTCTTCTCTTTTGTTATCTCAAGATTGTCTTATCCGGTTTCGTTTCTACTCCTTCAATCAAGTCTTCTCAATCTCAATCTCGTTCTCTCGTATCCGGTTTCGTTTCTACTTTTTCAATCAAATCTTCTCAATCTTGATCTCGTTCTCTCGTATCCGGTTTCTACTTTTATCCGCATCTCTGGATCTACTATTGGCAATGCCTCCAAAGCCAAAGTCAAAGCAATCCCCCAAGCTTACAAAAAGTGGTTTGGTATGTTGTTTTATATTCTATTTGATTGTTGATGAATGCTGACTTACCCTTCTGTTTTTCTACCTTCTAGCCAAGAAAACCTCGTCGCACGAAAGCGGCTTTAGCATCAGATGCTGCCTTATGTGGGCAAACGGTGAGAGGCAAGCAAACTCGTGCTGAACTCAGACAATCTCGTTTGGCTGCGGAAGAACGAGACCGCTTGGAAACCCAAAAGTCCACCACTTCACGTTCAACGGTCACAGCTTCAAGATCCCAGGGAACTTCAGCAACTCCCAAATCTAGAATTCCGACTCTAAAATCTCCAGCTTTGACTCCGAAACCTCCTTCAGCATCTCAACCTTCTGTACCAGCATCTCAACCTTCTGTACCAGCATCCCAAGCAACACAAAATGGACCTCTCTTTCAAAGACCCGACTATGAGCGTATTGTGACTTTCCTGTCTGTACCTAAGAACCGCGATATAATCTTTGGATTGGCTCAATCCCCAGCTACCTACCTCAGCACCTTAGCCAAAGAAATCAACACGGACTACAACACCCGAAATCAAATCTTTAGTCAATCAAAATCACACCCAAACGGATTGGTAATGAACCTCACCGGGAGAACTCTGGAAGCCCGCATCAAACGGTACAAGGCCAGGTACCACAGAGTCAGAGAGCTAGCTCGTTCGACTGGGCAAGGTCTAAAAGATGAACAACGTGCAAAAGGTTTTGATACTCCTCAAGAGTTATTAGAGCACAAGTGTCCTTTTTATGCTGAAATGGACGCCATCTTCAAAGATAAGCCGAATATCAGTGCTTTTGCAGTGATGGACACTGGAACAACTTCGACTTCGAATCCCTTACCAGCCGAGCAATCTTCCGTCGAGTCCTCTGAAATGAAAAGCGAAGTCACTCACGTTTCCGACTCAGAAGAGGAACAAACTCAAGAAAAAATTCATCCATTCCATCCAGATCGAACGGCATCTCACTTAAGTTTATCTGCTCAAGACAATCACGCTGAAGATTACGAAGATTACGAAGAAGATCAGGAGGAGGAGGAGGAGGCTCAAGATCAAGCTCAAGATGAAAACAACTCTGATTATCGCATTTCAACCCGACAAGAATCAGAATCCAGACTTCAGGCATTCATCGCTTCTCTCACACCTGATTTGGATCTACCCTTCCCACCTGATTTCAATATCCCCTTCCCTCTTGATCCTTCTCAAGCCGAATTTGAATTCCCGGACCTACCACCACCAATTGATCCTTCTGCTGATTACTGCCTCAACATGCCACCAGGAAATTTCTCTCCAGTAGCCGGCGCTCAACCTGTGGTCGATGATCTTTACTTGAATCTCAACAAAGCCAGTTGTCCAGCTGACAATCCTTCCACCGCGACTAACCATTCAATCTTACCACCTGATTACGATCCAGTACCAGAGTTGGAGTTGCACAGCGGAAATGAAGACATCCTAGACGAGCACATCCCAGACGAGCAACCAACTCAAACCACCAAAAAGCCCAAGAAGAAACGCCGTGCGGAAGCCTTGCTCACAGCCGAGGAAATGGCTCTTGATTCTGGAAGCGACGACAATTTGCCAACTCAAACCACCAAAAAGCCCAAGAAGAAACGCCGTGCAGAAGCCTTGCTCACAGCCGAGGAAATGGCTCTTGATTCTGGAAGCGACGACGATTCGGAAATCCTTGGCCCTTCCAAGAAGAGGATGAAGCAATCACAACCCCAGTCCCGCAAGTCCACCGGCCCCAACAAAACCATTGTCTCCCGCCCGATGGATCCTCTTCCTTCTATCGATCCATCGGCAGTTCGTACGAAGGACCTCAAGAATCCTATCGCTGTTGCACTGATGACTAGCAGCCATGATAGAAATAAAGAGATCAGATCTAACAACATCTGGCGTCGCAACTTAGAGATGATGAAGCAAAAAGAGGCTGCTGACGCCGAGGTAATCAGAAAGCAAGAAGTACAAGCCGTGAAGCTATTCGAACAGCAAAAACTTGAGAAGGAGCATATACAAGCACAAATTGTTGAACGTAGCAAATTCGCTCAAAGCCTTATTTTATCTGGCAAATCTCCTCAAGAAGTTACAGATTACCTTGCTGCAGTATTTCCTGCCTTTGGAACCGATTCTCTTGCTGTTGCCTCATCTGAACAATCGTAAGTGTATCT